TCCAGGAGTGCAAAGCTTGTTGCGTCATACCCAAAAAGAATCAAGGCTGTAGTTGCTGCCAAAGGTGCTTCAACTAAGTGATGAGTAAAGAGTTAATCATTTTAATCATTTCAACCCAAATTAATCATTGTACAAAAGCTGACAAAAAAATTAAAATAGCATAAAAAGATAAATAAAAAAATCCTTAAAATAAACACTAAAATATATAAAAATTAACACAAGGCCCAACAATAAGATAAAACATTATCTGATGATGATATGAAAACCATTTTTCCTTACTTAAATTTTTTTTGAATTAATATTTAATTTTTTTCCCTTAATGTTTATCTTTGGTCTTGAGGGTAGATGCATGGCTGATCTGTCTCTCTTTTCTGTGTGTCTGGAGGGATTGAGATTAAGTCAAAAAACAATACAAAACCCCCCCCAGATATCACATTCATCTCATTGAAATTTCTGACAACTGACATCTACCAAAAAATAGGCTTTGTAATTGTGACTGCACTGACAGATGGGAGGTCAGGAATGAGCCTGTGTTGGTAGCATGTTGTTTAAATCCTGTATAGTGACCGGGTGAAACACGGGATGGGTTGAACTTAATCTGTGAGCTGTGGTTCTCTGATTCAGTACAGTCAGGCCATCAACAGCATGAATTCAAACTGCTTGAGGAATGCGAGACCGATTAGGAAACCAAAACAATGGAAAAAAAAAAAAAATTTCTTCTTGAAAAGAAGAACTTTTCTTCTTCTTTTTTAAAAACATTAAAAAAAACATTAAGAAACACTACAAAAAGAAAGAAAGGAAAAGAAAGAAATAGTATCTGTATTTTGGAATTAACTAAATTAACTACAAATAATTTTAATAAAATTAATATGCATATTTAATTTGCTATCACAACTAAACTATGCATGACTATTTTTTATTACTTGCATTTAATAATATATATATATATATAAATTTTTTTTCTAAATCATTTATATCATTACCTAACAGTGAACAATTTTTACAGCACGTGCACACACACACAGTTCATTTATATCCATTCATAACATTAATATTAAAATTAAACTTGAAATGTTAAAAATGTATTAGAATAAATTAAAATGCATACGTTTATTAAAAATAATAAATTATGATAAAGTATTGTACAATGGTAAAATCTAATGCATTAACTGTGACTAATTAAACCTTACTGTAAAAGAGTTACCAATGTTTTTTAATGTCCCATAAAATGTTAAAAATTCAAATTTTTCATAAGAATATTTAAATAAACTGGTGCATAATTTAAGAATTACAATTTACACTGATTACACAAAAATTGTTCTGCTTGTGTTGCATAAACGAAACCTTACAGTTTTGTTTCGAATCATAGTGAGTGCCCTTGCTGTCTTCTGAGGGAGCATCCTAAATAAAGTGGAATCTTCTAAATGAATGATTTTGAATGCTCACACATAGGAATCATACAAAATAGTGTGCAAAATGCACAGGAGACTTAAATCCCAAAAGATTTCAATAGTTTTAAAGGGCACGTGCAGTGCTGCCAAAGTAAGTGATTCTAGATGGTTGCATAATTACTCTACCTACCCTACCTTCTGGAACAAACTTACATTTACAGCAGTGTTAGAATTAAGCAAATGCTTCCAGAAGGACTAAACGTCTGGCTTGTTTCATGAGCAAGCGCAACTAAGAGCAAATGTCACAACATATCCTATCCTGAGATAGCAGAAAGAAACAGCATTCTCTCATCCGCCGAATAAAAGGAACTGGAAACATTGTCATGGAGACAGTAGGGAGGGCAGCTGGCACTGATTATCAGGACCTGAGAAAGAATCTCAATTCAACCCAGACCGAACTCCTTTAGATCCTCCTTTTGATGGATTAATTGAAACCTCCACGAGAGCAGCAGCTGATGAAGCAATACAGAGCAGCAATACTCATACAAGGTCATTTGAGGTCAACTACATGATCAAGACAAGACTTTTTAGCTTTAATGTTTTGAAAAGCTTTTAAAATTGCATCCTGTTGAATTTTGTTCTCACTGTTTTTGAACCCAAGACATTTTATGCTAAACAACTCAGAATGTCTTAAAGGGATTGTTCACCTAAAAGTGAAAATTTGCTGTTAATTTACTCACTCTCGGGCCATTCAAGCTGTAGTAGGTGATTTTCTTTCTTCAGTAGAACAGTAAAGAAGATTTTTAGCTGAAACCGTGGTCCTTGGTGATTCATAAACTGCAAGTCAGCAGATCACAAATTTAATACCTGTGGCTCCTGACAATATATTGAGGTCTTATATGAAGCGAAACGATCGGTCTGTGCAAGAAACTGATCATTATTTACAACAATGTTAGCTGTAATCCAGAACCTCAGGCAACGGGGAAGTTCAATTCTTTTCTGCAAACTGGTTCTTTCAGACAGTTCATTTCAGTGAACTGGTTCAACTCACTAGTTCATTTACGTAATCACGCAATGACATAACGTATACGCAATTATATTATTACAGCACCCAATAATGATGTGAAACGTGGATGTTTTACATGTCTAAAGCAAATAAACGGAATAAACTTGTTTTCACCAGCTCAACTTCAGTCAGAGTCGGAACCAGTGTTGCCAACTTAGCGATTTTTTCCAAAAAAAGCACCTAGTGACAACTCTAGCGACTTCTTGGACAAACCTCTAGTTTCTGAGACTTCTGCCTCACAAGTGCGAGGTCTTGTTTTCCCGCTGCGCGCACACCCCTCTCAGCGAGTGACTGAGAGGAGCAGGACTTTATTTTAACTGAAATATTCTGTTGCTTCTAACCTGAGTGATCATTTTATATGCAAATACAGCCGAAATCACAGCACAGCCATTGTCTTTATCTTATGTGTATGTGATTTTGTCTGATTACGGCTTGATTATGAATCATGATTTTAGTGCATCTTGGAAGGGAGATCTGGTTATGTAGTCTTAAAGGGTTAGTTCACCCAAAAATGAAAATTAGCCCATAAATTACTCACCCTCAAGTCATCCTAGGTGTATATGACTTTCTTCTTTCAGACGAATCCAGTCGGAGGTATATAAAAAAATTGTCTTTGATCTATCAAGCTGTTTCATGGCACTCAGCGGGTGTTGCATGCATCAGTCCAAATTATGGGCTAATTTTCATTTTTGGGTGAACTAACCCTTTAATGGGCCACGTTTCAGTCACTATTTAATTGCATCCCGTTGTCTGACAACAGAAACAGAAAAATGTATTGAAAAGAGTTTAGATATGTGCTGGAACTTAGATTTGTGCTGCTTGAGCCGCGGACTGTTTCAGACAGTTCAGTCCCATTTGGTGAACTGGTTCAACTAGTTCACCAAAAAGAACCGGTTCAAAAGAATGATTTGTTCACGAATCAGACAGACCGTTTGCTTGTGTCTATGGATTACGGGTAATAGAGTGGTGCAGGGTTTCACAACAAAACCCGCCCAATTGCTACTCAAAACTAGCTTAAAACTAGCCCAATCGCATTTCGAGGGGGGTCCCCGTTAAAAATCACGTTCCGGGGGGTAAAATACATGTTTTTTTGGCGGGGATCCCGGGTAAATATCGCGCTAAATATCGCGTTATTGGTGTCGCTTCAACCCGCGGACATGAAAAACAACCCGCAGCAACAGTGTTAAAGTAGCCCTATTCCGCGGGAAAACTGTAAATAATGTTCAGTTTCTTGCACAGACCAATCATTTAGCTTAAGTCCTCAATATATCGTCAAAGCCACAGGTATTAATTTTATGTTGCCTGATATGCTTTTATTATTATTTTTATTTTTTTCAAAAATGTGCAGCCGCTGACTTGCATTTTATGACCACGGTTTCAGCTAAAAATCCTCTTTGCTGTTCTACTGAAGAAAAAAAGTCACCTACAACATGGATAGTAAATTAACAGCAAATTTTCATTTTTTGGTAGAACTATCCCTTTAATCAAGTAACAAGGCCTGGTCCAAACACTAGGTTTTGTGATACACTCCCAGTTTTGACCTCACACTTGGAGACTCGTCATAATAGTCAAGTAATTTCAAATGTGCCGATCAATCATGAGTCAAATCTCCCGTGTGGCACGCTGTCAATGCAGAGCGTTCCAAATCAATTGCTCACGAGGGTCCATTTGACATACTGTGCACAAGTACGTGAACACAAACAATTCTGATTCAACCTCCATTTTGGGCGTTGATGCTTTATCTTACAAAACAGAAACAATGCAAGCTGCCTACCTCGACAGCATTTTAAGGCATAAAGGCATCCTTCCGATGTGAATGCTGTTGTAGACAATCTGCCTACTAAGATACTTCCTTTTGTCCAAATTCTAAAGCTGCATCAGACAAGGTAAACCTCATAATGTTTATTCAATACCTCCTGTGCACTTCACCTAAAGAGTGCTATTTGTATGATGCACAGAGATACTCCCTAAGAAGTGTTCCAAATCGCTCACATAGGGTTCCATTTCAGTTAGGATGCCAAACTCATAGAGCAGCAGCAATGTTATACTTGTACCTTTGCTGTTGCTCTATAAATGCCACTGGCAGATAAATAATGATTGAAGTAAAATGTATAAATGCCCAATGCATTGTAATTGTAGCAATTAAAAGCATTTTTTTTTTTTAAGTGTGCAACTAAACTAACTGTTACTGTTTCTTCAGTGTTTATAATAGTGTTTACTTTTCCTATGACTCTAAACCCTGGTCCAATCAAGACCCACCGGTAAAAATAAACAGCCAGCCAGTAAATAAAAGCCAACACAACTATAATTACCTGAATTCTTACAAATCATCATAAAAGAGACGCATAAAGTAGCAGCCTTTACAAAAACACTCACACCGATGGGATAAGAGAAATGTTGAAAAATTGTTGGCTCTAAAAACAAACATTAGATTGTGAAGAAAGTAAGATTGAGTGAGAGTTGGAGGAACAGTTCACCAACATTTTTTTTAAAATCATGTCATCATTCACAATAAAAGTAAGATGCTGATCTTTTAATGCCGAACTCCAAAAAAATAAAAGAGAAAATGAACTATAAAGTATGATAAAGTACTCTATATGATTTGTGCTAAATATATACATATATACAACTATTCCTTAGAATATGAAGGTAAAAGGTCATGAAAATAATCTAAGACTTAATAAAATGCCTCCTTGGAGAGTGTGAGATCTTTCATAGTCGTTGTGAGATTAGTGTCAAGAAGCTGTTTTCATGGAAAATACCCTAAAAGGAAGTCACTTCGTCCTCCTGACGAATGCTTTCGCTTCTTTCTGCAGGCATTTAATGTCCTCTTTGCCACGGTCGTCTGATTTGGGCACATAGTCCGAGTCTTCATCCACCTCCTCCGCCTCACTCTCATCATTAATAAAACTGTTTTCATAGTGATCATCATCCTCAGCAGCAGCGGTCTTGGCTGGGCAAACAAAACAGCATGAAATGTGGTTTGAATAAAAGATTTTGGACCCGGTTTATACTTGTATTTCACACTGACCCCTTGTGATCACCTAAAACAGTGTAAATATGGCTTGAGTCAAACAAAACAGCATGAAATGTGGTTTGAATAAAAGATTTTGGACCCGGTTTACACTTGTATTTCACACTGACCCCTTGTGATCACCTAAAACAGTGTAAATATGGCTTGAGAAGCTTAGGCTATGCAAGATGCGGCTACAAGCTTCAATTTTTAAGATCTTCTGAGAACGATAAAGCTCTTAAAACAGCTGGGAGCATCTGGGGTTTCTGGCTCGGTTTATGTGAAGCGTTCGGCACGCACTACACCATTTTCTGGAGGAAAATAAGCAGAACAATCTGTGACTTCATGAAGCATTAAATGCAAACCACTTATCAGTGAAAGCACTGCTAACAATTAAACATCACAAAAGCCTGTGTTTCTCACTAATATTAGTTTCACCTAATATTAATTCTGATCGATGCTGATGTCCATATGTGCAGTCTGTTCCTCCCCAGGGTTCATGCAGCATGTTTTCAATTAGTTTAAGACGAGTTTAACTGCATTAAATGTGACTACAGCCCAGAGGAGCCTCAGGTGACTCACCAAATATTACGCTCATTCAGTCCCATGGAAAATGATTCAGACTCTGGCTTCACTGGGCGAACGGATTTGCGGGTGTTAAATATGCATGGGTTGTAACAATAAACATTGTTTATTCTTCATCTCAGAATGTCAAAAGTGACTGCATCTGCAATGATGACCAATCCAACAAACCTAGTCATTTTAAATTAAATTACAGATATAATTCCCCAACACCCTTCAGATGAGGATTAAGACATGCTGATTTTTAGGGAAGATGCCAGAGAGCTTTCAAAAAGACTGCTGCACTTATATAACAGGATCTTTCCTGGGGCAAAATGCCATTTTGTTGTAGATTATGTGATAAAGTGATAGAGATGATAGACTTTAGACAATTTCAAATAATTGTTTAACTTAAATGATTAACAAATACATTTTTATAAGTTTGTCTACATAGGATATATTAGTTATTTTAGGGTAAAAGTAGTCTCACTGCTCAACGGGTATATAGTGCAAATTAGACAGGACAGAGGAAAGGAGAGGAGACCGGCAAGAAAGACTGATGGCATTTTTAAGAATTAGGAACAGTGTTCTGGAAAGCGCAACTAATATTTTTCCATTCCTTTTTAGATGAAAACTATTTATTTCACGTTAGAACAGCAATAATGTGGCGATTTAGCATGCACAGTCATAAAACGACATATTGCCCCAAAAAAAAAAAACATTTTGGCAGCAATTATTAAGTTCTGGGGAGTAACTAAATCCATTTCTCTATATTTTAATTTATTGCCAAACAGGATCATAAAAGGAAGTAAACACGACATTATTCAGTTTAAAGTTAAGGAGGACTGACTGAAACCTCTTACTCTTAATTAGTGGTGTCTGCTAAGGTAAGCATCACTTTTATTATTGCTAAACTTAGAGCTAGAGATCTGAATAAACCCTTTGTCTTACGCCAAGTATTTAACTGTGGCACACAATTCACATTAATTCACATGTAAAAATACTCACGTGGTGATTTAGTGTGTTTGTACTCTTTCTTGTGAAGTAGATTCTTCCTGAAATATTGAAGCAAGCACAAAGAAGAAGAAACTTTAAACAAATGCTAGAGTTACACTTAATCTAATAGACTTTTCATTTAAGGCAGGCAAATTAAAACAAGCAAATCCATTGTTTTTTCACGCAATGGTCAACTTTGATATATTGGGCTATTTTGCTTACTTAAAATATCTTCTTTCAGACTAGTGGAAAGAAAGCATTCAAATTACACATTTAAGTGTTTATTTGATTCATTTTTATATATTTGCGTCTGTAGATTTCAATTACAATACATATTTTTGAAGGCCGTTTTCTCAAAATGAGTTTTTACACCAAACTTCCCAGTTTTTATCTTATATTCTGAGAATTTTACTGAGGGGTCTATTCATATATAATTGGCCTGATTTTAAACATTTTGTTTCTGGCTGCTGATAATACTTTCTTATATGTGGAGCGATAAAATGAGATATACTCTGTAAAAACCTTTATGACAACAAAATGAAAAAATAATTTTGAACCTGGCTTTATCCAGTGTTCAGATTTCTGTTTTGAAAACGCATGCAAATTAGTGCATATTTAATTTGACAATGCCTTGCTTGCATATTTAAACCTAACATTTCTGAAAACTAGTAATACAACATGATTTTGTTAATGTACTCTAATTCATCTACTGGGGAAAATATGGTGATATCAAACAGTTCAAATGTTTACCCCATTAAACTGTGGTGTCTTGCTTTAATGTTGTCTTCCTGAGCTCCACTTATTGCGATTCTTATAAAGATGTGTAAAAGTGGACAGTCTGGAATTTTTTGCACTTTTGTTTCATGTTTTGCATCTTTCTTTCAAAAACTATTTTCACTGAGAAGGAAGTTTTGAGTTCTAAAAGTAACAGTTTTCATAATACAATGAATTCTCAATTCAAAAGATAAAAAAAATACTGTGATTCAACTCTATCGAAGCATTTAAATGAGGTACTGTGCTGTTGTTAAACTCATTTGTCGTCACCTGTAGCAGTGGGTGCCATACGGACAGTCCGGCCTGTCACTGTCAGCATCCTCTGCCTCCTCTTCCTCATAGTCGCTGTCTCCAGGGTGACTGCACTCCTGAAAGTGGACCGGATTTTTCCTGGCGTGAGGAAAAACACAACTGCCGAGTGAACTGCAATGCATGCTGGAACACAATAAGGCAAATGAATTCAATCACGAGCATTCATGCAACTTAATTACACTGACAGCTAATCTAGTTGGAAATTAAAGTACTATTCAGTAGCATTTCTGTTGTTCATTTCAGTTTGTCGTTATCATTCTGTGACCCTTCATAATGCGATATTTCAATTTAGCTGACAACAGAATGATCCGCTGAAAAAAATCATTGATAAATCACAACTGTCGCCAGTTAGAGAAGTCACTTTTTTACCATGTAGTTTGGAAAGTTAGACAGTTTGGAAAGGAAGGAACAAAAAATATGCAGGGTATGTGAGTCCAACAGAAAACTGAACCGCATACAAATGCAAAGTTTACCAGTGCATGTCACGCTTCACCCCTGCGTTTGAGGACAGCGCCCTCCAGCTACAATACAGATTTTGTGTTTTTATCTCTCAGCTTTTTAGGATTAAAAACAAACGTCAGAGAATAAGACATTAGGGAAAACGTGTGTTTGTCTTTGAAATAACACGCAAACCATTTCAGTCGAGCTGATTTACGAGCTGATCTGCGGCCGTCCCTGGCTGACCTGAGAATCACTGGCATCTTCTTCATGTGTCTTTGAGTCTACAGCGTGAGCTCCTTGTCTGACCTCAGCTCCTCTTCTCTCCCCATCATCACACTCCATCACACCGGTGCTCTTCTCTCCATCCGGGACTGACCCGACTCTGCTGCTCTTGAGAGTGGGTGCATCATCCTGTCAGGACATGCATGCACACAGTAAATACTCCGTTCTGCTTACATTTCAATGCAACAAAATACAGGTACTAGCTCTATGTGACAATTCATGTAAACATATCTATCAGGATTTACAAATAAAATGTACTATTAAAAGTTAGAAAAAACTCAAAATGTTTAAAATGACAAAAATGTATTATATATATATTTTTACATTGCTAATTTTATAAAATGACAGCAACAGCAAATTATAAAAGTCAATAGATAAATAGTACAATTTATTAATGATAATACATAATAATAAAAATAATTATTACTGCTATTATGGAATCATGGTTTATAATAATAATAATAATAATAAAGTTGTTGTTGTTATTAAGTACACAGCATTTATAATAAAAATAATTATTAACAACAATCATCATCATCATCATTATCATTACATGTTTCTACCTTGTGATATTTATAATTTGCTGTTGCCGTCATTTTATAAAACTGTATAATTATATAAACAGTGCACCCATCAAGTAACCACTTAATTAAAAAGTTAATAATATATAATAAATACAATATATTGTTACATTATTTATATAACATAGTATTTATATAATATAATATAATATAATATAATATATGATATATGATATGATATATAATATAATATAATAACATAGTGAACAATAATATATTGTAATGTAGTATTTATATAATATAATATAATATAATATATGATATATGATATGATATATAATATAATATAATAACATAGTGAACAATAATATATTGTAATGTACTGGGGTCAATAATCCCACATTGTGTACAATATCTCAGCTCATTTACCAGAGGCGCAGACTCGTCTCCAGAGTCACTCTTCAGTCTCTCTGCTTTCCTTTTGGGCATCTCTTCCTCCACCTTCTCTTCCTCAGATGACACCTGTGCGGCACGAGCCCGTTTGGGTCCAGTTGCCCTCTTGGATGTAGCTCCTTGTTTGGGTTTTGTAGGAGTCGCCTTCACCGCTGAGCTCTCGCCTTCTCCAAAATAGACAGAAAAAACACTGTGTTATTGATGGATAATGTCAATACTCACTTTTTCCTGAAACACCCCAGAGGGGCTCCAGATGTGACCTGTGGCACTGAGAAGGTAAGAGATGAGAGGTGACATGGATGTTTTGCAGACAGCGAGAACAGTACAGTACATGAGTCAGTCTCTCCAAACATCTATCCATCACGGTAAGTGTGTGCAGAGGAAACAGGGTCTGATGGGAGAATATTCATGAGGATCCTTAATTGAATCATTGTGAAACATTTGCAACCAATTTCACTTCCATAATATTCAACAAGAAAACAACGTAGCACTTCACTGTATCCATGAGGAATCATTTCAGGTTGTAAATGTGAATAAAAATAAATATAAAATAAATATTATAATTAAATATTAAATATATTAAATGCTTAAAATATTAAATAAATATATACAAAGAATTATCCTATGCACATTTATTTATGTAAAATTAAGCTCACATTTCACCAAAATGATATATTTTCAGAGAATTAACATATGAAACAGAAAATAGTATTAAATATGTCAGTGGGATTTGATGCATCACCACTTTCACCAGTCTTTTTAATCTTATGTTGCCATTAATAAAAAAATCCAAAAACCAGATGACAGCAATATAAAATTATGGGTAAGGATGTAACATCACACCCTGAATCGTTAAAAAAGGCTTTTGAAGACTTGTTCACTGTAATGGACATCATGTATCAGAGGGTTAAATACTGCTTGCTAAAGACACAAATCTCCACAACAAGATCAACAGCGCTCCAGACACACGTAATCTCTTCAAAACTTTCCATTCTCTCCTCTGTCCCCCTTTGATGCATCACCACTTTCACCAGTCTTTTTAATCTTATGTTGCCATTAATAAAAAAATCCAAAAACCAGATGACAGCAATATAAAATTATGGGTAAGGATGTAACATCATACCCTGAATGGTTAAAAAAGGCTTTTGAAGACTGTAATGGACATCATGTATCAGAGGGTTAAATACTGCTTGCTAAAGACACAAATCTGCTCCTACATGAGCTGAATAATGTTTTCTCAAGCATGACCCTGAATGCTGGGTAAAGTGCCACGAGATCTAGATGGAGTGCTGAATATGACAGGATTGGTGCTAATGAGCTGTTTGAGAAGTCTGCAGCACACTTGTTCTTTTTTGCGAGCAAATTAGCGACACATCTGCATTTCTGGTGAGCTGCAGAATGCATGGGAGTAACACTGAGGATGAGGAGGACATCTGGGCCAAATCTGAACCTTGTCTGGCTGGGTCGGAGTCACAGCACTGTAACTGATCTGACAAGTGGATGGGGACTAACTCTCTCTGCATTCTCCATGCATTCCTCAACAACAGGCTGAGTGGAGTTGCCGTGACGACCAGACACTAGGCGGATATGTTCTTTCTTTTTTGAATGGGTGTGAACAGACAGAACACTGGATCTGTTGCCATGGGGACAGTACCTTTGGCTGAGGTCATCATCCAGGCCGGCAACATACGCTTCTTCTGTGGCAGATCAGACTCATCCTGTTGGCTCTTCGCGGCTGCCTTGAAAACACAAAACAGTTTAAAATAGATGAGAAAATTATAGTATATAGGATATAGTCAAGTAGGGTATAGAAGAGTATACAAAAATATAGATACGTATAAAAAAAAAAGTAGGGTTTAGAGGAGGATAGATAAGAAAAGTAAAGCATATAGAAGATGAGTACAGAAAAGTAGAGTATAGAAATATATGTACAGACAAAGAGAGGTGTAGAAGAGAGAAACTTTAAAAAATATAATTATTTTTAATTAAAATATATATGAATTTAATTACATTATATTAAATATATATATATATAAAGTTGTACATAAAAAATAAATAAATATAAACATTAAGCTTTTCTCTCCCCAGAATGATCTATTTTGGTGTTACAGGAAAAATAGCTTAATGTTTAGAAATATATAAAAATAAACATAAAAAAATTATTGCAAAAGAAAATAGTAGTCAATATTTCAGTGATACAGAACACTAGGTTATAGAATTATATTAAGAGAAAAAGAGGAGAGAGAAATTACAGAATTGAATTTCTACAGTGTAGAAGAGAGAAATTACAGAATTGTAAGCATATATAGTATGGTATACAACGTATAGAAGTATAGAAGAGAACATGGAAATTCCATGATTTTTCATACTACATAGGAAGATTTTTTTAATGTATAGGAACTCTGACAAGAAGTCTCTTATCAGGGTTCCTATGCAATAAAAAATGTCTTTATCTACCCAAAATCTTTAAACGGTAGGGTATACTGTATGTGGTATTCACACACACACACCTCATTTGGAGAGGAAAGAGTGTGTGAAGGATCACCGGCTCCTTTATCTTCTGTGAGTGTGGTGCTTGGGCTCGTGGGCATGTAGCTGTTGGCTTCAAGTGTGGCCGAGTCTAGAGCGAGTGCTGCTGGTCCATTCGAACACTTTTGCACCTCCTCCTCAAATGCCTGACTGTTTCTGTGAAGAACCAGCAGTGAAAACCTTCTCTACTTCTCTAAGTTAAGCACCACACTTTGGTAAAATCCCTTAGATAAGCTTCAATAATGTAGAGCACAATCAATGTTTGTAACACGCCAGTCTTTAAAACTATTCATCATTAACCAAAAAAACAATCCCTCGTCAGTGTGACCAAGCGCGCCATAAAGAAATTAAGCCACCTAATAGTCTAATTTCACAGATGAAAGACATGACTTTTAAATGCATGCAAATCAGCACATTCAGAATCAATTTGTCACAGCAGCACTTATCATTTGTTTATCATCTGGGCATTATCAGAGCGTCTGTTTTAAACGTGTCCATTCAAGCCCAGTGTGCCTGTCTGCTCATTATAGAGAAAGACAATAAAAGTGTCCTTTGATCTGAACCCAGTGGTCACAGATCGGTTTTAAGGGAAAAGGTCAAAATGAAATAAATCAGCCAGACACTCATTATCTTGACTGGAGGGAATATATAGACGAGATAAATGACTGGCCTTAATAAAGGGTGCTATTTTAAGATGACAAAGAATGATAACCCTGCATGCATGAATGTTTTAGAATATTCATGAAGTTGAGAATATTCACGAGGATCCTTAATTGAATCATTGTGAAACATTTGCAACCAATTTCACTTCCATAATGTGACAATATTCAACAAGAAAACAACGTAGCACTTCATTGTATACATGAGGAATCATTTCAGATTGTAAATGTGTTTCAAACCAGAAGGAAGCCAAACTTGAATTTACTAAGAAAATTTCATGTTGACTTCAAACAAATGCATTCAACACCAATATTAACCCTTTCCTTAAGGAAGTGAAAGAAATAAGAGAGGAGATTGCAAACATGTTGTACTCGGTTACAGCACTGCACAACAAACTGTTCTCTGTTGTTGCTGAATAATAAATGAATACTTGTGAGTGACAGGCTGAATCACCTGGGGGTTTGATCATCGTCTTTGACACGCACTCTGTAAATGTATTTCCCAGGCATGAGAGAAAAGATGTCGCCCTCCTTTAGGCAATGCCACTGGTCCTTCTCCAGCGGCTGAGGGGAAGCCACAATGTTCGTCTGAATAAAACATGGGTTCAGGTGTGTCTAGAGGATAGAAATGAGAGGAATACTGGTCGATCACATGCAAATAGTAATCTTTTTTGCATATGTCTTTTACATACAGGTCTATTCAGTTACTTTGGAGACAACGAGGAGAGGAAGAAATCAGGCTGGATTTGTCTCCTGTATGAGCACAATGGCTAAATATTTCTGAAGCATGTGCACTAAATGCTAAGCCACGGCTTTGACAATCATTTCTCTAAACAAAATGTCAAAATTTAAACCAATGTTGTTTTAGTATCACTTATTTTTATTTATTTATTATATATTTTATTTAGTGCTGTCAAACGATTAATCGCATCCAAAATAAACGTTTTTGTTTAAATAATATGTGTGTGTACTGTGTATATTTATTATGTACATATAAATACACACACATGCACGTATATATTTAAGAAAAATATATTGCGTTTATATATTAAATATATTTATATGTGATATAAATTATATGAATATAAATATATACATGTAAATACAGGTAAATATTTTCAAAATATATGCTGTATGTGTGTGTATGTATATGGTGTACAATACACCAACATATATTATGTAAACAAAAACTCTTATTTTGGATGTGATTAATCGCGATTAATCCTTTGACAACACTAATTTTATTTTGATTACTTTTAATTTAGTTTTAGCCATTTTTTGAGCGTTTGCCATATTTCTTATGTATGTTTGTATACATTTTAGTACTTAGAACAACTTTTTAAATATATTTTTTGTATTTTATTTATTTATTTTTTTAAATACATTTGTTTGCCGTTTTGTTTAACTTTTTCCATCTAATATTTATATTTTGTTATTTCAGCTTTTCAATTATTTATTATTTCAATTAACAATACAAATTAATAGTTTTAATTAATAATAACAATGAATCGAGCTTGTGCAGCTGGGAAAAAAAAGTATGTTTAATGAATTAACTCAATAATCCGAATATTTGAGATTTTTTGAAAACAAGGGCTTGTTATATACTCAGAGTCGAAAGATCAATGGAAGCGAACATTACCCAAATAACCCAGAAATCATTGTTGCTATGACAGCATGACTAACAGGCTATAACGACGACACATGTAATTAAGAGAGACAGCTGCTTATGAGAGAAAGATGCGAGGAGAGAGCTCATATTTAAAGGCTTTTGATGTCTTAACATCAAAGGTGAGCGCCGCTTTTCTTCGACAGAAGAGCGTAAAATAACAAAACCACCATCACGACTCTCAGCCCACATCAAATGACTAACAAAAACCTACAGGCTTCAGACGCAGCTGACCATTCTGGTTCTCAAGGATGCCGTGGTTCCTGGACACTCTCTTATCATTCACCTGGAAGAGAGCGAAGACACAGTGAAACAGATATATAACTCTTTGCTAAACTATATGATGATAAACTGTATCTTGAAAAGTACGAATGCTTCTGGTGAATGGTACAAAGCTTTGGGGTCAGTAAGATTTTTATTGAGCATGGATGCATTATTAAAATGATCAAAAGTGACAGTAAAGACATTTTTAATATCGCAAAAGATTTCCACTAAAATATGAAGCAGCACTACTGTTTTCAACATTGATAAAAGCAATAAGAGAAGTTTCTTGAGCAGCAAATCAGCATATTAGAACGATTTCTGAAGGATCATGTGACACTGAAGACTGGAGTAATGATGCTGAAAATTCAGCTTTGCATCACTGGAATAAAATCCTGTCTATCCCAAACCTTTGAACAGTAGTGTATGTATTCCTATATGAAGAGAATTCAATGTCACTTCCAATCATAAATGTTGAATGGCGCCCACCACTCTCATAAACATTGTTTGCTGTAGCTCAGTGTCATTCATCATACGTGTAGCAGAACATTACAATGACTCTATGAGGGCACTTCACTGTGAGCCGGGTGATTTAAAGACCCCATGATATGAAACGATTCGAAGAGCACAGCAATCTGTTTTGTCTTTTGACATATTTCCTTATGAAACAGGAAGTAAACGTAAGACAAACAAGGTGAGTTTTTTGAAAGACAATGATTTTAAATTTGTAATTTATTATATGCTAAAGGTTGTCAACTTTTTGTGTACACCAGCATATAGACTATCTTAAAGCAAACTCCCATTTTGATTTTATTGGGTCTTCATGATGATGATTGGGTCATCATCTTAATCCATGCTTTATAACTGTTGTCAGGACTTCTGAGGTTTGTTAATACACTGAAAAAAAAAAACGTTTGTCAGTTCATGGAGCACTCCATGAGATATTCCACCTCAGTATCTCTGATTTCTAACCCTCATACATTAGAGTCAGGGTGCCATCTTGAGGGCTTTGATTGTCATTGCTGAATGATAACTGCTCATGCATGAAACTGAAAGTAACGCATTTGTTTTGCGTGTTGTTCTATACTAAAGCAACATGAATAATATATACAGTCATGGCCAACAGTTTTGGCAGGGAAATACATTTTCTTTTGCAAAGTTTGCTGCTTAAGCTGTTGTGGTGTTCATTCACATTGTTTCTAGATTATTGTGTAGTGATCAGATGCATTTTAAATAATTGCTAAAAGCTTCATTGGCCAAAAAATTTACTTTTCACAAAAAAAATAATTTCACTGTTTTTTGATCCAATTGTGATCAACTCCGAGAACTAATAAGGAAAGAATGGATCGCCTTCAGTCAGGATTTGGCCCAGAAGCTAATATCCATCATGCCAGAGCGAACTGCAGAGATTATGAAGAACTAGGGTCAACACTGTAAATATTGACTCTTTTTTTTTTTTTGCCAAAAAAAGCCTTTTTCAGTATACCATAGAAACCATACAAACATGTGGAAAAAATAATCTTCAAATACTGAAGCAGCAAACTTTGCAAAACACAAAATTTATGTCAATGCCAAAACTTTTGGCCATGACTGTATACATACACTCACTGCAAAAACATAAACATAATAATATGTAATGTTTTTAAATAACATAACATTATAAATAACATAAAGACTAAAGTCTTTTTTTTCCCTTGGGTAATTCGTCCATGCCTACTGAGCTTTATAGTATTTCTGTAAAAGTGCACAGCAGACTTGGCTCAAATTCAGGCACTTGAGTTTATTAGTTATAGCCTGATAATTTGCACAATGGCAAGAACATTAGCATGCCATCTAATATATTTTTTAAGACATATTAGTGAAAATATACTGCATAGTAGTAATGGTTAACCTACCCCTAGAAATAGTCCTCTCCCCAGAACAGTTTCTCCATAGGGCAGCTCTATAGGACTGCCACCGTCCACCTGCTCCAGCTCGAAGCCTGGCATCTGTGCATAAGAAGACACACAGACCTGTTTGGACTTCATGTTCAGTGATCAAATATCTTTAATGTGTATACAAATGCTGTAAAGCAGATTTGAGCTCGCCCGCGCTGCAGACTTAAATCTTTCTCAAAACAAACTCTCCCATTATTACTTTGAGAGAAAATACTTTCTATTTAATTAGGTCGCGAAGACGAATTCGTTAGAGTCAACTTTTCGCCGCTTCTTGTGCATGAAAAACGCTAAAGAAACTGACTGAGAAGTGCAGCAAGAAATTAATATTAATGATTATTTTTAGGACTTCCGGTGAACTCCGCGATGAGCATGCGCTGTATAAACACAAACGTGGGCTCTTTTCTAAACTTTTACCCAAAAGGTGCAAATAATATAAAATGTAGCCTATACCTCAAATTCTGCATTATAATAATGCGGAATCAAAACAACTTCAAATTTCCGTTGAAGAGACGCGCATGCGCAGTGAGAACGAGGCGTCGTGACGTTTCTGGCGTAAACAAACGCAGACGTTTAAATCCTCAACTGTCAACGAGACGCCTCCGCCGGTATGAATCTTTACAAATAACATATTGTTTAAATAAACTTCTTTAGTTTTTCGTACTGCATGCAATTATATAGATGTATTTGTTTTTAAAATCTATTCTAGCCACTGGTTAGCTAGAGTTACGTACTGTAGGTGGTGGCTTTGTCCACGAACGAACAGATAACGTTACTGCGATCGTTCAATTACACGCACACGATAACCTATGTATTGCTTAAAGAATGGATTATTTGTAAGTCAAATGTTCTGTCATTGTTGAGCTCAATGAAAATCAAACTGAAACTCCTCTAGGACGCTGAGAGATGCAGAATGTCTGTAAAAGGAGCAAGAGCGCCATCTTCAGCCCAAAGCGAGGAGCCACCTTAATGATCCCTGGTGGCCAGGATCCACTTCAGCAGAGCTTTACAGAGACCCTTCCTACTGAGATGAGCATGAGGATCTTCAGTGAGCTGGACGTCAGGAGTTTGTGCCGGGCCTCGCTCACCTGCAGACACTGGAATGACATAATCGAGGGCAGCGATCAGCTGTGGAGGAGCCACTGTCTTTCGGTGCTGGCTATTTGCCGGAGGGAGGTGGACGGGGACAGGTTTGCTGGGTGTTCATGGAAGGTTTGTGTTATTGCTGTTAAAATTAAGTGATATTCTGCTTAATTTTGTTCCTGTCTCTGCTGTTTGTTTCTTATTTACCTTTCCTTTTTGTGCCAGGTTACTCTTGTTCGTAACTACAGGAAAGGCTGCGTAAAGCGGAGGTGGCTGAAGGGCCGATACAGTAACATCCGCTCTGCTGACGATATCCCATCCAACAGCATGTGTCCACTGGACGTGGAGACCTGGGGAGAGATACTGGAGGCGGAACTGGATAGATAGAGCAAACAGAGACTTTTGGGATCCTGCCAATGGACTGAAATACATCAGCTGTGTCTACAATGGAAGCATTATGACTGAAACACTTGCTGGGCAAATAATTCTATGGAATATTTTGTAATCAGTATTGCCAAAAAGCACAAAGGCTAAAAAAATACATGATAATGTAGCTTTTGTTACCGAACATTTTAGTTGTATTACTGAAATTTGCTTGAGACTGTAATGAGGTTTTATAGGTTTCATATGATGGAAGCGTTTTGCAGATGGAACCGAGAGAGAGAGAGAGAGAGATCTTGTCTGTTTTTTTAGAGATCAACAAAACTGTGCACATTTTGATTTTAAGTATTGATTTTTATTCATTTATTTGATTTTTTTTAGAGTCACTGCCAAAACATGTTTTGCCTTAAATAATGCAACTATTATTTTATCAAAGCTAATATATTAATGAATATTATGTGTCCCAGTGCTGTACTTCCCTCTTCATTGCTGGCCTCTCTTTCCATTTCTCTCTTTCTGCTATCTGTATGCATATGTCTTATCTTTATAACCACATAATCATTTAAAACATAGAACTATTGTTACATTTAAATGCACAGTTTTTGCTATGTGAAAAGGCGTTTTTCGTACAAACAGTGAGAAATCAGTATGTATGAACTAGCATTGCCTTGTTGTGAAATGGAAAGCTTATTTAATTTTTAAAAAGAGACTTCGAAAGCAATTCTGAGTATCTTTTCAGTCCTATCAGACAAAAAAATATTTTTTACTGCTAATAAGTAGCATTGTGCCGTCTCAAGCTAAATTAAAGGAAGGCATTAATTGATAAATAGGTTAATTTATGGACTGGAGTCGTGTGAATTATTGTGATGTTTTTATCAGCTGTTTGGACTCTCATTCTGACAGCACCCATTCACTGCAGAGCATCTACTGCTGAGCAAGTGATGCAATGCTACATTTCTCCAAATCTGTTCTGATGAAGAAACAAGCTCATCTACATCTTGCATGGCCTGAGAGTGAGTGCATTCTCGGAAAATTTTATTTTTTTGGGTGAACTATGCCATATGAACTCATAATGGAGGAATCTGTGAGATAAAATGATTATTAATGTTAAATGAGAATATAATTTGCCTGCTTTTGAACTTCACTCAAGTCACTCAATCACTCAAATTATGTATATTCCTCTCATTATATTTTTTTAAATGGCATAAATGTCATTTAAAACGACACTTATTGGTCTGACTGTCCGTTAAAAATTTACACACATCCTGTTTTAATTAAAATTAATGTTTTTATATAACTGCTATTGTTGCAAAGCTTTCTGCAAAGACAAAACTGCATAAAAATGCATATACTCCTTCAAAAAACCTTCATAACAGCCCATTAAAAATAGGTTTATAATTAATTTAGTTAATTATATTAATATTTTATTAACATTTCAAGCTCACTAAACACGTAATAGCAGTGTTTTGTGTTTAGTGCATTTAAAATGTACTTCTTTCACTAAAAAATGGCTCAGTAGCCTATTGCAGGCAGTATTATTAGCGTAGCACCACACGATTCTTCAGTTTCAGCACTTTGGACAGGGACTGTTTTGACACTAACAAAATGGGATTAGGATCTAAATCTAATGCTAATAAGCTATTTAAAATATTTTTGAATCCTAGAATACAATACACATGACAAAAATAAACAAACAAAACAATCGATAGGGTAGCAACGCCACTAACACAATGGGATTAGGATCTAAATCTAATGCTAATAAGCTATTTACAATATTTTTGAATCCTAGAATACAATACACATGACAAAAATAAACAAACAAAACAATCGATAGGGTAGCAACGCCTATTTTAGCAATGCCAATTATATGAGCCCAGTTTAGCCATATGCATAAATGTATGCTGCATGATTAAATGGGCGTGATGGCTTGTGTAGACGTCACAGCATCCCTCCACAGCTTCCTGAGACCATCCGCCATCCCGTTAATGACCGGGAGCCTGGAAATACATCGACCTCCGGTAACTCGCAGCTATGGCCGACGTTCCAGCGATAATAAACATCGCGATTTCTTTGAAAATCCAACCCAATGACGGACCCGTGTTTTATAAAGTGGACGGGACAAGGTTCGGCCAGAGCAGGACAATCAAATTGCTGACAGGATCGAAATACAAAATCGAGGTGATCGTGAAACCGGGTAGCGCGGAGGCCACGTAAGTCCATTCAATATGAACGCGGTCAAATTGATCCTGTTTATATGCTCCTGATATTATAGGTGGTTGCATATAAATAGCTCTTAGCACTCGATGTTTTTCGCAACATTGGGGCCGAAAGCTGCACCTGCGCTCCTGTAAGAAAGGAAATATATCGTGTATGTGATATAAATAGACTGCAGTATGTATATGCATTAAAGTCGATTCTTTATTTGCGCAGTAGGCCTACGTTATTTAGAAATGCTGTGAAACTGAACCATGTTACAAGTACGAGTCGTTAATGTTTTATTGACAGAAGGAATTTCAGATGTGTGTCAAATAAGCTAAACAGGCAGATAGTCTGACACTTGTTTAAACGGGGTTTTCAGCACAATGGGAATCGGCGGAAAGAGCTTCCCATTGGAGCAGCAGTCCAAAGATGAAGAGCAGGTCGTCTACAATGGCACCTACGACACCGAGGGAGTGCCACACACCAAGAGCGGGGACAGACAACCTGTGCAGGTCTTCATAGAGGTAACACAGCCCAGCCGGGAATAGAATAGAATAAAATAAAATAGAATTCATTATGAAATCACACAGAATTGCTAGATGCTAAATTGTTCAGGAGGATCTGAGATTTGAAGCTAAATTCAGCCTTAGCATTAGATTTCACTTGTACCGCACTGTTTTGGCTACGGACGTAAATGATGCCTCAAATTACTGAGAAGCTGGTGCTTGTGTTACTTTACAAGACTCCTGATTTGCACCTGACAGATGATAAAACAGGCAAAAAAAATCTTAGTTTTGAGTCATATGTGGAGGTCAGAATGTCATACAGTTTGAGGGATGGGCTCTTTGACCTGGACCAGTAAGAAACCACCCAGAACACCATACAGCAAACTCATATAAACACCATGCCAACTACCTACCAATGCTTGAGAAATCATGTCAAAATATGTTCTTCCGTTACTTTAACTCATCAAAATAACTGAACCACTTTCAACTTAATTATTTTATTTTATTATATATTTTTACAGACAATTTGAATACACTTAAAAAATAGGCAGCAAATGAGTGTCAGTTGAATTCAGTGGAATTTTTTAGTGAGGGCAATCAACTCTTACATTTTCTTCAGAAAATTGTAAAAATAGATATAGATTAGAATTGGTAGATTACTTTGTTAAATACTAGTCTCTAAAATTCTAAAATTGACGCTTTAAGGGTGCAAAAAAAAAAAATTGATTGATATATATATATATTTTTGGCCAATATTGTTATTTACAATATATTTTAACAGTAATCTCCAAAACATATATCAACCTTGAAAATTATATTTTCAGTTTTTAATATTTTATCTAGCCTATATTAAATGGAAAGCAAGTGACCACACTGAAAAAAACAAAAACAAATTGGTGTATGTTTTACTTTTAAACAATTTTCACTCAGAAATTACTAATAAAATTTCACACAAAAAAAAATTCACAAGAAACGGCAAGTAACGTTGAATTAAATGTGAAATTTTGAAGTAGGAAAACTGAGATAGTATTTTCTTGTGAAATGTACTGCAATAATATGTTTTGTTTTTTTTACAAAAAAAAATCTTGCAACCTGTAACACCTAAAATAATCGCAAATATGCAAAAAAAAAAAAGTATAGACTGCAAGCTAAATCGGTGTAGTCAGATTGCTGCTGTACATCTAGTTAACAAGACATGTTTTTTTTTTTCTAACAATGTCAATGCAATGTGTTATGGGAGTGCAAGCATGTAAACGTTCATGCATCTGTAACTAAAGACAAATCACTCAGCCAACTGATCAAGTAGAAAGAACTGAACTATAAAATGTTTCTAACCTTCCATCTTCTTTTTGTTGCCAGTTCAAAGATGCCGGTATGTTTGAAACTGTATGGCAGGTGAAATACTACAACTACTACAAGAGAGAACACTGCCAGTTCGGCAACAGCTTCAATTGCATCGAGTACGAGGCCAAGCCCAACGAGACCCGTAGCCTCATGTGGATAAACAAAGAGGTCTTCCAGTAAAACACGAGCAGAGTTTCAGCAGCAAACCTGCACAATATGACCTGTAACCATCATGGGGCCGCTGTGTGTGAGATAGATGATTGCAAAGTGCTCAAGATGTGACTATTAAAGGCTCCAAACAAGTGATCCATCAGGGAATCTGTTCACCAGTCAAGCACTGTATCTATTTGTTGTACCACTGGTCATGCATGATCTGAACGTTTCAGTCTGAACAGAATTTCTCCTCATTTATGTCTCCTCCTCTTTATCATGCCTGAGCTGGTGAAACTCTGAAAAGGATGGTGATATTTTGGGCGAAAGTCTCCATGGGAAGGGATTATAATGAGACCGAATTTTCAGCTCTCTCTTGGTCATTTGCACAGCACATATCTGCTCTATTATGGTTACAAATACACCGAGACCATCTTTCAACAAGACTCAGATGAGAAAAATACACTGCAGGCCTGTATTTAACCCAGTGGTTTGCTGTTGTAGAGACGGGCAGTGCTCCAAAATGCTTGCTCAAAAAGGTGCTGTATAAACGTACACAGGCTATAGATGATACTCTTTATTAGTATGTATAATATAATATTATATAAGTGAAGACCAGTCAGTTAATATCGTGGTCTTTTGGGACCAGCGTAAAACAATTATTTGTGACAGGCGTATCTGTTTATGTATGGTGTGAATGGATGTTTAATTATTTCCCATTTTGTGTTACTGTTGTTCACTGCTTAAACTGTTATATACGTTGCCTATTTTTCACAGAAGCATTATTTCACTGGTGAGAGTTAGAAGTGAATCAGAAATGCAGTCAGTGCTTATTTTTGCTTAATTCTATGCCTATTTTCACTCATGTTCTGATGCTTTGTTTGCTCGTGGGGTGTCTATGTGTGTTGCTGAATATCAATCTTGATTTTTGTGTGACTTTGAGCCAAAAAAAAACAACAATCTTGTTGCTTGAAGTTCTGTTCTAATAAATATATTATGGTTTAATACAATACCAGCCAATAAAAGACCAAAAGAAGAAAAAGAAAAACATACAAAATATGCAATACATAGAAAATAATATATGTGGTGGTTATTTTTAGCTTAGCATATTGTTATAATTTAGTAACCGTATACCTGATATACATTACCTATAACATCTATCATATAAAGCTGTATTTTTTAAAAAGCATGTTTATAGACACACAACTGGAACACTTTCAGATGCAAATACCTGAGTATTTAGGAATAGTCACCAAATGTTAAAAATGTAATACAAAAGCAGGCCTCACAATAAAACACTCCAAGACAGATGAAATGTGCCACAGCAAGAACAAACAATAAAATCGGAGAAATAAAGATAACACGTAATTTAAAAAGTTAAAAATATTAGATATTAAACTGCACATG